CATGCTCAAAGCATGTGTGATTGACTTTGGAGGGCAGTGGGATCGATTCTTGCCCTTGGGCGAGTTTTCTTACAACAACACTTATCAGTCCAGCATCGAAATGGATCCGTTTGAGGCTTTATATGGTCGGCGATGTCGTTCTCCCATCAGGTGGTTTGAGCCCGGTGAGGCTAAGTTATATGGTACTGATTTGGTGAAGGATGCCTTGGAAAAGATAAAGTTGATTCAGGAGAGACTTCGCACAGCACAGTCCAGACAGAAGATTTACGCGTATCAGAAGGCGTGTGATTTATCATTCATGGTGGGTGAGAAAGTTCTCTTGAAGGTTTCACCGACGAAGAGAATCATGATGTTCGGGAAGAAAGGCAAGTTGAGCCCAAGGTTTATAGGCCCATTTGAGGTGTTGAGACGAGTTGGGAAGGTTGCTTATGAGCTTGCTTTGCCACCCAGTCTATCAGGAGTTCATCCGGTTTTCCATGTATCCATGCTCCGGAGGTATCATGCCGACTTGTCACATGTGTTAGAATTCAACACGATTCAGGTAGATAAGATCCTGGGTTATGAGGAGGAGCCAGTTGCCATTGTTGATAGGCAGGTTTGCCTGTTGAGATCCAAGAGGATTTTCGCGGTAAAGGTCCAGTGGAGGGGCCGACCAGTCGAGGAGGTGACTTGGGAGTCTGAGGAGGACATGCAGAGCAGATATCCACACTTATTCTAGAACCCCGTTCCCCTAAATAAGACTTCCCATACGTGATTTTACTATTTTATAACTTGCGGGGATGGTTAGTTCGGGATTTGGAAGGGTTCGGGTTGAAATCAGAACACTTGGTTCCTTAAGTTGGCCTTAAAAGGCTAAGTTTGACTTCGGTCAACGTTTTAAGTAAACGACCTCGGAATCGAGATTTGACGGTTTCATTAAGTTCGTATGATAATTTCAGACTTGGGCGTATGTTCGGATGGGGTTTAGTATGACCCAATAGCGTTTCGATGCCTAACAGTGAAAGTTGGTTCTTTGAAGGTTTTTGAAGTTCTTTAAACTTGGTTTGAAGTAGGTTTTGGTGATATCGAAGTCCAAATGGAATTCCGAGACCGAGAATAGTTCTGTAATGTCATTTAAGACTTACACGCAAAATTTGGGGTGTGATTCTTGGTTTTGTTGTTGTTTTACGAGTTTTGAGAGTTCGAGCAAGTTCGTATTATGTTTATAGACTTGTTGGTATGTTTGGGCGGGACCCCGGGAGACTCGGGTGTCAATCGGACTTGGCACAGACCCAATTTGGACTTGGAAGGACAGCTGAAGCACCAGGTTTCTGGTGTAATCACACCTGCAGAGGGTTAGCCGTAGGTGCGAGCTCGCAGAAGCGAGCCATGAATCGCAGAAGCGACGCAGCCCAGGCTGCCAAGTGTTCGCAAAAGCGACAAGGTTACCGCACATACGGAAGCGTAGGTGCGAAGAGGGCGATCGCAGAAGCGTAAAGGGGTCGCAGGTGCGACAAGCATGCCACAAAAGCGATCTCCCGCTCATAGAAGCGAACCTAGTCAGCTCAGGCCCCTCCGCAGAAGCGGACCTTGGTCCGTAGAAGGTGATGCCGCAAATGCAGCCAAGGCACCGCAGGTGCGAAAATCGCTGAGGCAGACCACTTTATTTAATACGAGACTTGGGCATTTTTGCTCATTTCTTACACTTCTTGGGGGCGATTTTGGAGCTGGTTAGAGAAGGATTTTCATCAACTAATTGAGGTAAGTAATTCCTATTAAATGTGAGTTAAATACATAGTTTATGGGTAGATTATAACATGTAAATTAGTGAAAATTTTGGGATTTAGGTGAAAACCTAGGTTTTTGACAAAATTAGATTTAACCACGAAATTTATTATGGAATTTAGTACAAATCATATATTTAAGTTCGTGAGATTATGGGTAACAACTTTCTTCGAAAATTTTCGGAATCCGAGCACGTGGATCCGAGGGTGAATTTTATGAATCATGTATAATCCCTTCAATAGTTGGAATATGAACTTTTGAACATGTATTGATTATTTTATATAAAATTTGACTAGTTTCGAGTCATTTTGGCACCGAATTTGGGGGTTTGAGCACAATCTTGGACCAAAACGTAGGCTTTGAGACGAGGTAAGTCTCTTTTCTAACCTTGTAAGAGGGAATTAACCCCATAGGTGAATTAATTAATATGCGCTCCTATTTGTGGGGGGCTACGTATGCACGAGGTAATGAGAGTCCGTACGTAACTACTAATTATGCTATTGTCCGGGTAGTCTAGGACCCATATCATGCTATACTTTAAATATTTGCACTCTACTTGTTAACTAAATTGCTTGAGTCATTTTGAAAATGTATAAAAGAATTGTAAAAGATTAAATTTCACTCACTTGAAGTCGTGAAGGGGACACTTGACTGTTATTGAGAATTTTGTGTTTCTTTAAAGTATTTTCTTTCATGGAGCGGGCCGAAGGTAGCAGATAGATGCATCTATGGTTCGTGCCGTTCGACTATCGGCAATGCACAGTTTAAATATTCTTATATTGGATCGGGCCATACGACCTCGACATAATTTGCGCATATTAAATCTTTGAAACTATTTATAATTGATATTGCTTCAATGTCTTGAGATATAAATTGTTAAATGATGAAAATTAATTCGGGACTTAGTAGTTGTGAAAGGATTATTTACAATTTCCTGTTATTGAGTTTTCAGTATCATTCATGTAATCCATGTTTAGTTATAATTCTGACATAATATTGTTAGCCCATAGTAAGTGTCAAAGTCGACCCCTAGTCACTACTTCTTCGAGGTTAGAATGGATACTTACTGGGCACATGTTGTTTATGTACTCACGCTACACTTCTGCACTCAAATGTATAGGATGTGAGGCATGTGCATCTGGGTATCAGTCCGGCGCGCACGCTTGACCCCCTGGTACGAGACTACACGGTGAGCTGCCTTTCCGAGCCGTTCTACAGTAGCCAGAGTCTTTCTTTTGTTATTGCTCTGTCTATTTCATTTCAGATAGTAGAGTAGTAATCTTTTCTATATTCTACTAGTAACACATACTTTTGTGACACCAGGTCTTGGCACACACTAATAGACTTGTGCTCTTGGTTTATTTCATGGTTATGAATGCACTCAGTTGCTTTCGTTTTATTTATTTTAAATCTGTGTTTTTCTTAATTCTTTTAAATTAAGGAAAAAAAATTTAATTACTTAGAAATTTATTAAAAAGAGAAATCACATGGCTAGTTCATTGTTGGCTTACCTAGTGTCGATGATGGGCGCCCTCACGTCCTATTATGAAATTTGGGTCATGACATCCCAGCGACGTACTGTAGATTGTGCTCGGATTCAGCTACTAGTGGAGACTTGAGGTATAGCTGCACGACGTTCATAGTTCTGAAGTCCCCTTCTACTTTATTTTAGTTGTGTGCTTTCTTTCAGTCAACTTTATTTTATTCAGACCCTTGTTTGTATTATTTTAGAAGTTCGTGCACTTATGACACCAGATTCGGGGATGTATTTGGATGGTTCGTTTGTTATGGTCTTCCGCACTTTATTTCAGTAATGAACTTCTGTTTAATTTAATTTATTTTAAAATGGTAAAAATTATTTTAACATTGGCTTGCCTAGCGAGTGAAATGTTAGGCGTCATCACGGTCTTGAAAGTGGAAATTTCGGATCGTGACATAAATTAATATAATTTTATTTAAACACCGGCTGCAAGTAAATTTTTACCCGCAAAAAAAAGCATATAGTGCCTCAATTCTATGTGTGTGTATAGCCTGCATCACCCGCAACTTGGTACATGCGCTGGAGAGAACTGAATAGTTTTAGGTAGATGGACAATAACAACAATAATAATTACACTTCAATTAAAAATTAATTTGAATCTCATATGAATTCTTCCTATCTATTTTGCAGAAAAGAATAATTATGTAGGTATTCACATAGAGATTCTAAAATAACTCTATTGCACACTTCATTTTATAAATTTTCAATAAGGCACTTGTAAAACGCATTTGGAAACACCTCCATAACTAAGTATATTAAATTTATCACTAGAAACATATGAAAATTTCTCTAGAATCAGCAAGAATATAAAGTAAATTATTACTCCAGCAGAACTAAACCTTATTTAGCAGAGCACCTAGTTCACCTTTGGCGCGTTTCACAGAAAATTCACAATAAAATCATAAATTGATTGAGACATGCTTTTAGAATAATCTAAGAGTAGATGTTAACATATTGCATGTCAAAAAGAAAATTTGTGTTGTAGCATCTGATCATCAAAATAAGATTTTGGGGAAAGAGAAGCGTAATAAGACAGTTTTTAGATGAATAAGTTATATACAATACCTATAAAAAAAATTTACATTATCAAATCATTTTTACCCGTTATAGTACGTAGATACCTATAGTTTGTAGATATCCTTTCCGTAATCTAATAGCACAAAATATTCTTTATACATTGTATATAACTTAAACTCCACTATAACTTACTAATCCAAAAGGAAAGAAATATACATACACAAACAATGAGACTGAAATATTTAGATGCAAATAAAAATTGTACTTTCTCATTACTTTTCATGTCTAAGAAATAGGAGTACTATTTTAAAAAATAATAATCTTTTACCTTTTTATGCTTTCCTTCAAATTTTACAAACTTTCTATACCTATATATAGTTCTAGTTCTTCTTTTGTCTAATCTTTTAGTGTGGGATTCCAAAACCCAATTATATAAATATATTATGAGCTGTCCTTTTCTGGTACAAAAATATATATGTACTTTTCTTTTTCTTTTCCTTTTCCTCGTCAAAATAAGAAATATAAAAAATTAGAGTCAGGATGGAAAATATATGCATCATATTATCAAAGCTTATACAAGGAATGGAGATAATATATATAAGGTCTATCTTTTTTTATAAAACTATATTTTTTGTGCCTTGGCCTACTTTCTTGAATAATTGGAAAACTAAAATGAAAGGACTAAATAAAATAGAGTTGGACTATATATATAAACAAAATGAAAAACAAAACCTTAGCAATTAAAGGACAAAAAGGAAAAAAGAACAACAACAACTCCAGAAACAAGTTTTTCTAAATATATTGTCTGCTAAAATCTTGAAGAAGACTTCAAACTACAGCTATCTGCTTCATCAGTTAAAAAATTCTCCTTTCAGACTAAGATACCCTGCAAATTAAACCATCGTATTAAATCAATAAAGATGTCCTTTTATGCATGGGGGGAAATTATTATGGAGAATAACATAGAAGAAAAATAAATTAAACAAAACATTCACAAGCAAGAATATTATGCTACCCTTAGAGATGGATAAAATAATACCAAGTTTGATGGGAGAATTAAGGACTAAGTTTATACTACTCTTAAGTCTAGGATTAAGTTTATATTATGTTTGGTTGACGGTATAAATTTATCCCGGGACAAAATTTATACCATCAACCGAACATAGTATAACTCTAGTATTCAACCGAACATAGTATAAATCTAATACCACACTTTATCCTATCTTATCGCACCTTATACCGCATAGCAAACGACCCCTTAAGAGTCAACAGAAATGAAAGGATGCACATACAAACACACAGACACAAAGGTATATTTAATACTCCCTCATAGAATCTTTAAGTTTTTTAGTAAAATTTATATATTTATAAACTATATAAAAACATGTTATAATAATTAATAATTCAAAATATTTTAAAAACATTTGAATAATAACGGTCAAAGAGACAGAAAATTTTCCCTAGAATAAGCAAGGATATAAACCAAATTATTGCTGAAGCAGAATTAAACCTTACTAATTAATTAGCAGAGCACTTGGTTCACCTTATATAGAGTGAGACATTCTTGGAATAACCTAATAGTACTAACTTTTACCTGTACTTTTTTGTGCTTTCCTTTTGTCGTCCTTGAACTTTTCACCTTTTCTTGAAAGTCACTGAAAATTTCCAGCACTTGCAAAACCCTGCTTGCTTTGCTGTTGTTGCTGTTGCTCTCTTTGGCTACTAAATCCCCCACTCATACTTCTTCTTACTATCTCTCCAACTCCAAGGAAATCTCTAGTTAACTGTTTCTTCTGTAGTGGTAATTGGTGCTGTTGCTGCTCAAAGTTCAACTTGGTTGCTTTGTTGTATCCTCCTCCATAGTCATTTTGGTCATGTCCATAAGCATTGAAAACATTCACAATGTCACCGGTCGGACCTACGTACAAAGGGTAGTCAGTCGAACATCCTTAGTAGAAAGTTTTATTGTGTATATACTATGTATATAGTTTCAAATATTACTTCTTATATTTAAATAGAAGAATTGACCTAAATAGCCGTCCATCTAACCACTTAAACGAAAAATAATCAGTAGATTTATAATATATATGTATAATTCATATATAATATGTATTAATTAATATGTGTATAACCAGGTATAACCCGCGTATAATCTATATATACCGACACGAAAAAGTAAATAGTGAATTTGGTCGGCTATTTTTGTAAAGACCCCTATTAGATATTAGATATCCTTACCGAAAAATAGCAAGCTGTTAATATGTGTATAAACATGTATAATAAATGTATAATTTATGCATACAGACTCGAAAAAGTAAATAGTGAATTCGATCGGCTATTTTTGTAAAGACTCCTATTAGATATCCTTACCGAAAAAATAGCCAGTTGTTAATATGTGCATAACCTGGTATAATCACTGTATAATTTATGTATACAGACTCAAAAAAGTAAATAGTGAATACGATTGGCTATTTGTGTAAAGATCCCTATATTGGACATCCTTACCGAAATTCTTGGCTTCGCCATTGATTTCACGCAAGTGGTTCCCACTATGGTCATATAGGTATAATCAGTGTATAATATATGTATACCGATTCGAAAAAGTAAATAGTGAATTTGATAAGCTATTTGTGTAAAGATCCGTATTAAAGATTGGACATCCTTACCGAAATTCCCGGCTTCGCCATTGATTTCAGGCAAGTGGTTCTCACTATGGTCACTGAAAATGTCGCCAAAGTTGACAGCTTGATGATCAGATTTTGTGCCACTAGAGGATGAATTACCACCATTAGTACTATTTCCAAAGGCTTTCAGCAATGAGGCAGTAGTGCTAATATTACTTGTAGTAGATCCAATTTGAGCTGCCTTTTGAAGAAGTGCAGTGGCTGACATTGGTGCAACTGAAGAAGTAGTATTATTAAGATTATGGTTCTGAACTTGTGAACCATAGAGAGAAGGGATTGAACAACTAATATTTTGATCACCCAAAATTCCACTGGGCAAATTGATATTGCCATCATTATTCTGGAAAAAGTTGAGGTTAAACATATTGTTGTTGTGAAAATTTGGGAGTTGCATTAGGCTATGGATTGGTTTAATGTTGGCATAATCTTGATTGGATTCTTGAAAGAAAAAGGAATTACTAGTACTTGAGCCAATATTGGATGTACCAATGAGGTTGTGATTAGTATTGCCCAAACTCAATTTTTGATCAGAAATTGTGGAATTCTGCATTTTGGAGAAGTTGCCTAAATTTATGTTGCTATTACTTCCATATAAATGGCTGCCAATTGTGCTAAAATTTGGTACTGGATTTCTTGCAGTTTCCTGAGCCAAGGCATCACAAAAAGCTCTGTGTGTGATGAAACTGTCACGCCTGTGTAAAACACAAATGAGATACAACCAATTAATAGAGAAACCATAATATAATTAAGAACTCTTTCAATTAGAAAATAATACGTAAAGTAAAGGCTAAAGAGAAGCAAAATAAAAAATTAGAGACAAATTAGATGAAGTTCGTAGCTGAAATTGAAACGACCAAAACATAAAGACTGGAAAAATTCAAAGCACCCTTGTTAAATCTGATTGCAGTTTAACTTCTATAAACTAGCACGTAGAAAACATTTGTACACTATGAGATAATTCGTAATTACAAGTAATGTTAATTGAAGTATAACAAGTGAGAGTAGTAACTTGAAATATAAGACAATTTAAAAAATCAATAGTAATAGTGTAATTTTTTAAAACTGTCAGTATATATAAATTAAGTTAAGTTCAAATTATACTAATTAATGACAATGACAATCATGTGTTTTTAATGAGATTGTCACATATAACCTGTCATTCTCTCTCGTAGAATAACTAAAACAAATTGTAGAACCTATAGCAAATAATACAAGAATGTCTTTAGCTAGTCTAAGTAAAAACTTCACTTTTACCATACATTGAATTTACTGAAACTCGTCATGGAAATTGACTTGAAAGTGGGCTCAAGTTTAAAGAGTGGTCCCATTCTAAAAATGACGAAACTGGTCAATTTGACCAAGGAGAAAGATATTGTAAATCAGAATATATGTAAAAATTCTATATATGAGGAAGAGAAGAATTTTTTTTTTATTAAAAACGGAAAAGAAGATGAGGAATATAATTGCCAAAAGTGACAGAAACATAATCAAGGATGGTCAGAGAATAAGTTGCCGAAACTGGATAATGAATAATGAGTGAACTTTCATTATCAATAAAAGACATTATCAATACTCAAAGAAGTGATACAAATGCCTGAACATGATATTCAGTAAATGAAATAGCCGGTCAAAAAAAGTCCATTAAATTAAAGTGAAGAAACCATATTCAACTACAGATATGGACACTGAATTTCCATACAATGCAGGAACATCGATACAAACAATCACGTTATATGAATTCGACTGAACTCATTTTTTTACTCTAATTATATTTTATATATATATATAAACTCATCCAATCTAGATTCTGAATTCGAGTGGTCTAAAACATTATCATGACTGCTAACATCTAGCCAACCCAGAAGGGAACAAACCTGACAAGGATTACCAGTTTTGCATGGCATAGCAACACGTGAATAAGTTGAAAAGGTAGAATTAACGGAAAAGGACGACTTTTCCTAGGAGATACTCTTAAGGATCGTTTGATTAACGGAATAAGAGTATATTTCCATATAAAATTTGAAAGTATAATTTGTTTCATGTTTAGTTGTAGATATATACTCTCTCCGTTCATTTTTACTATTTCACTATACTAAAAATATATTTTCACTTTTACTTGTTCATTATACTAATTCAAAAAAAACATAATCTTTTTTTTCTATTTTACCCTTATCATTAACTACTTATTTCCTAAATCATTTCTCAAAATTTTTGGAAATGCTATCATTATTATGAGAAATTATAAAATACATACTTCATTATTTTTTAAAGGGAGTGCAAAATCAAAAGTACACTTCTAAAAGTGAACGGAGGGAGTAATTAATTCTTTGTTTTTACAACTTAATTATATATATGACCATATGGTGTTTCACAGTGACAATTTCACGTGTACACATTGTCTGTACCAGTAAAGATCCAAAAACAAAAAACCTACCAGAGAACAAAACAAAGAACGAAGACCAAACAAAACGAAAGAAGATAAGAGAAAGGTGAAAAAAGAGTTCAAAAGGAGAATCTGTAACTGTAGAAAAACTGGAGACAACTTTTTTCTTTAATTTTCCCTCTCTTTCCTCCCTGGAAAATCTAAAACTAGCCCTAAAACCAAAGAAGATGCCAAGCATTTATCAGTATTCAAATAGCATCATCACTAACAACTAGACAATCGTGAAGTTATAGTAAAATTTGTGATGATAAATCAAATAAAAAACCAACAAAATTGATTAATCAATCGATCTGGGATGCAAACACAACTCATAGCAATGGGCACTGCAAGAAAAATATATATACTACTATATAAGAGTGGCTATTAGCGTAAGAAAAAATGGTTCCTAAAATACTGATTCTAGTCCCTAAAAGTCAATAACTCATTCGTTATAGGCGTTGCCGCTAAAAATCAATAATGATGAAGTCTCCGTTTCAATTTAAGATGTTTACCTTTCTTTTTTAGTATGTTTAAAACAGAATGTCCATACCTGTATTTGGTAACTCTTTAAATTCAACATTCTACATGGCATGATTAAGGTTACAAGATTCAAAGGGCACTTTGATATATTATACAATCAGATCTTTCTATAACAACATCTCTATATAACAGTCATTTACTATAAAGCTAATTAGTTTTTCTCGAAATCAATTTTTATGTTATGTTAATATATATCCTCTATAACAGAACTTTATTATAACAGCCAAAAAGTATCGGAACAAATGAGGATGTTATAAAAAAGTTTGGTTGTATACATTTTTAGTTTAAGACAACAAGATTCAAAAGTCTTTCTTAATTTTCTAATTAACTCCGTGCGTAATCAAACGAAGACACTTAAATAGAAACGGGGGAGTAAATGATTTTTTGGATAATTTTTTGCAACTAAGAGAAAAAAAGAAGAAGAAGAAGAAGTAGAAGAAGAAGATAGATAGTAACTAAGCTAGTTGAATGTGTACAAACCTTGAGAAAATAGTGCCACAATCACATTTATATTCACGAGTGCCACAAGTTTTTGTATGAGCTTTCCAATCAGACTGAACTGCATATTTCTTGGAACATTTCTCACACTTGAATTTCTTCTCACCATGTTTTCTGAAGTAATGTTTTTTAATCCCAGTGAGATCACCTAATGCTCTGGAAGTTTCATGGTGTACACATGTGATTTCAGGACAAAGATAGACCTTGCGTTTTACTACTTCTTTTGTATTCTTCTGTTTTAGTTTCCAAGGCAAATTGTGTCCTCTTCTGTGTAGTTGTAAGTTTTGTTCCCTTTGGAATCCTTTGTTGCATACCTCACATAAGAATCTGTTTGTTGCCATTAGTGTCTTTGGTGATAAAGCTATCACTTCTGCATCTGGATCTGCTCATGTTTTCATCACCCAAAATAAAATAAAAAAAGTTAAATTTTTTTTCTTGATAATGACAAATTATACAACAATAAACCCAGTTAAATCCCACAAGTTGGGTCGGAGGAGGGTAATGTATACGCAGATCGTACTCACACCTGTGAAGATAGAGAAGTTATTTCTAATAACACCCTCGATTCAGGAAAAGCATAGTCACAACATGATAATGACAAATTATAATAATTTTAATTCATCATCTATATATGGTGGAAATTTACAAAGATTATAGAGGGGATATATATCATATGAAAATGAAGAGAGATAGGTGTTTTTTTGTTGCGGAATTTGCGTTTCTGGTTGGTTTTAACCATCCTCAACGTTAATGAATAAATTATATATGAAGAAATTTGTCAAATGGTTCGGATTTTTGGTCAATTCTAGCCTTTATAATCCATTAGCAGGTAGGATGGTTTTTGTTGCACTAAATTCAGGACCTATCAAATTAGGGTTTCCTCATATTTTTAGAAGGTAAACTTGAATTTCAGCTGTAAATTAACTTTTATTTTTTATTTTTGTATATATTAAAAAGAAGAAAAAAGAGAGAAGAATTTAGTCCTCTCTACTTGTGTTCTTTTGGTTCAAGAATTAATTCTCTTTAATTTAAAAAAAAAAACAATTAGATACTTGCATGGTGTAGTGCCAGGTTGATTTCTTCTCTTCTTTGTTGGTGCAGCTTGAGCTTGAGTTTGAACCATAGATGAAGATGGAGCTAAAGAATATTGCTGCTTTTGAAGGAGAACTTCCTGTTGAATATTCATCTTTTCTTGATTTCCCTCTTCTCTTCTTGTTTTGTTCTAATATTCTTCGGCGGCCCTGTATCGTTTCAATTTTATCGGATGTCTAGAAAGGACTAAATGACGAAAGAAAACGAGAAGGAAAAAGGAAAAGAATTCAATTCAATAAGCTTCACTTACAAACCTTATCTATATATAGAGCCTCCAGAAACTCTTTGCTGCTAATGAATTTGAGCTAACATAAAAAAGAGAGTGGCTTAGTAAGAGGAAGAGAATCATTCCATCATTAGCTGTTTGATGTTTTTTTCTCTTTCTTCTGTAATCCTTTTCTATAAATGAAATTCTCAAAAAGGATGTTATGAGGTTTTTCTATGTGTTTTAGGTGTCATGCATATGCACAAACACATATCCATAGTTCCATACCATTATTTATTTATTTATTTATTTTTCTCTCTAATATTTTCCAGTCTTGTTCATTATATATCTCTATTTTATACTTTTATATCACTAATTAAAATGCTAAAATGAAAAAATAAAAAAAGAACCTATTAAAAGGGAAAGAACATACATTATATTACTTGTACTATCTGCAACAATTGGCTTAAGTAGGACTCCTTATACTAGAATTAGACAGCCCAATTACTATTTCTGCATAGCTAGCATTCCACACTAAAATTAGATAGACTAATTTCTATTTCTGAAATCTAATGAAATATACCAAAATTAGCTCATCAACATTTACAGACAAGTTTATACGAAAAAATTGGATTCCCTTCCAAAATTTGAATAAAATTGAGAAGGGGATAAGGTATTTACGAAATAAATTTACTCACGCCTAGTGTTTAATAGGAGTATTACATATGTTTTCTTACATATACTACTTCTCTTACTTAATTATATGGATAATTAATGTATATTCTCCTCTCAATTCATCACTTAATCATGATAAATTAGTCATATTTAAAAATAATTTACAAATATTATTTCAAATTTTAAATCTATGACCAATCGATTAATATAAATATTGAATGCGAGTAAATATTTTATCAATTTTAGTGTGGAATGATGTGATGGTACTGACCCCTTATGTGTAGCATTTGGGTCCCCCGACCAGCAAGCATTGCCTCTCTTTCTCTCATTTCGTATCTTCTAACTCACTCTCAGACAAAATGCTTCTTCGTCTCCTTCTTCTTGGCTGTCACAGTGAAAGAGGAACTTTAAAAATAACCAAAAATATAAAACTAATAAATCCCTTTTTTCAAATATCAATAGCTTGCTAATAATCAAAATAAATATTCCAAATGCATATAAAAATGTAAAGTCCTTGTCCAGTTTCGTTTTGCCCTTTTGTGTCACTGAAACGTATCTGCGTTTATTAGGTATGTTCTTGTGGAGCCTGTTTGCTAAAGATCATGCATACTGTCACTTTTCATTCTTCTGTCTAACTAATAAATTAGACTGGAGTAGGATTTGAAAAAAGTAAAGAATAACTCCGGTTGGAAGAAGAGCGTTTACTGTCAAAGCTGGATAGTGAATTCATAATATAAAATTTATGAGTTCAACCTTTACTTCTTACTATATAGTTTTACTATTACAAAAAAGTGAATCAATTATATAAATTTTACGGGTTCAATCTTTAGTTCTTACTATTGTACCCATTATACTTTTAGAACTACAAGTTTTCAAAATTAATTATTTTAAAAATAATAATTTAATTTCGTACATATATATCTATTACTCTCTGTCGACAATGGTGAAATTAGTTGAAAACATTGACTATATACTATAACATAGATCATCCACTGCTACTAGTTTTAATATACACAATTGGTTTAATTGTATAAAGTTTTACGACTAAAAAAAAAGATTAGGAATTTCAATGTGTCGGGCTTGGAAATTTTAAAAGAATAAATCAAACAAAATATGCAAGAAGTGACACCAGATGTTCCCATCTCCCGTGTGTGAACCTAATTCTAGAAAAATAAAGAAAAAACCCACAAGATTGGCATAAGATTTGAGCTCCCAACCTCAATTAGAGATGCACCCAATAATCATTACATCATATGATAGCGTGCGCGCGCGCACACACATATATATATATATATATATATATATAATATTATTATACATGATTTATCGAGACAACATAAGTTCACATGCCGACCACCAAATACGGCCTGGCTAGAAGAGTTGGAAGGAATTAATGAAATAGGAAATTGTAGTCACCATTTGCTTACAAATGCCCTTCAGTAGGCATAGTAGCCCTAAATCCTTCATATTCTTACTAAAGTACATTTAAGTGCGGACGTTTACAAATTTTTGATTTGGTACAACATGTGAATTTAGTCATTATCGATGTAAAAGTATAACTATGACTTGTATCGAAGTGTATAATATATGGTTGGAACAATTTGAACTTCAAATTACTAAGAAAATGTTAAAAGTTGCCCTCAAAGATCTTACTCTTGTTTACTTGTTTAAGTAAATTAAATTGCTTCTGAGTGCTAATTAGTTTTAATTAGAAGAGCTAATATGATGGCGATTATAAAGAACACAAATACAATGTATTAATTTCATTTTCGTGCAATTTTCAGCCATAATTTATGATTGGATATATATTTGCATCATAGTCGAGCCTGTTTGGATGGTCGTTACTTATGGTTTCATAATGTACAGTATCGTATTGTATTAATGAATACAATATTTAGATAGATTGTATCGTTTGTTGTGGTTTAATAATATTTTTATGAGTAACCAGCAGAAACCACCAAATCCGTGATTAAAAAATTTGAGCTTTTTCATGGTTATATAACAACAGCACACAATAGGATTTTAAGAACAATGAAAACAAACATGATATCAATAAAAATAATACAATAATAAACCACGGAAAACAACCAGCCAAACAACTAGGGGTAAATTTGTTATTCCCGCCAATATTGCTGTATTTGTAAATAATAATTCTGCAAAATATAAGTTAGCGTAATGGAACAGTAATTAATTCGAGCCCACTGAATTTACAGTGTTTCCTTAAGGAATTTAATCCCCTCCTAGTACCCAAGGTAATGGATTATTTTCTCCCAGGATAGAACGAATCACACACTGGTGTAGCGGTACTTCAAACCCCAGTGTTTCAGCGAACACAAAGTTCTGTAGCAAATCACACTTACAATTGCTTTGTTTGAAGTTAAAACAATGCAGAACGAAGGAGTAGAAACTCAGAAAATCGTATGGAAATGCTGAGAGGAAGGAGTGCAATGTATAGCCAAATCTGTTGAGCGATTTCAGGATTTCAGTTTGTGTGTTGAGTGTTGAGTGTCTTTCTTCAACAGCTGCTGCACATATATATAGCAGCCAAATGTTGAAGAAGACCAATCGTCCACCCTCCATGGTGGAGCAAGCATTTAGCTTGTTTGTGGAGCAAGCACATTCATGTTTGTGGAGCAAGCACATTCATGGTGGGAAGAGCATTAGGCGGCTGCCAAATGGTCAATACACGGATTGAAAAATATCCGTTACAAATGCGGATAATCTTATGTTAATATTTACTATTAACAAATAAATTTGGTCCAAAAAATTAATCAATCAATCATTTGACCAAATCCAAAATCCGAATCCGCCGAAGCCGAGCGAGCAACGACGACGGCACGAGGCTTACTTTCTTCTTAACTCTTTAAGAGTTACAAGAAGAGCAATTATATATATACCCACCAAAAATCTCTTCCTCTTCCAATATGGGACAATGTCTCATTGTCAAGAGGGGAAACTTAAAATTTACTCAAAAATTTCATTTTCTCTCCATTTCCCATTCACCCTCATTTTAAGACTATTTCATCTTAAAAATTAAAATCTCAACAAAAATTTTCTTGGTTTGAAATCGTTCTCACGTTTTATTCAGCAGGTTGTCAGAAATCTTATTTAACCATAATTTATGATAAAAATATATCATTTGCATCACAGTATCCGGTTGACACGAAAATTGTGGCTAAAAAAATTATCAGACAAACAAAAATTCAATGGCTGATGATAAAGTTGAATTGTTCTCTTTCTTGTTCAAATTGCCAGCCAATTTAATACCACAATTTGAATAATATGACATGTTTTGTATGTAATCATCATTTAATGTACAAGATATGTTCAATATGACATACTGGATAAAATGTTATTAACTGCTTAGGATAGTAGTGTCAAAAGACCTTTAACAAAATGTGTACCTAACAATGTTGTTTTCTATGGACTTTATATGTAAAAACAATAATCAACAGAGGTTAAGTGATAATTGATACTGAAACAATTGCAGATTATGTGAAGTGCAAGTTGGACCAATCTATGAATCGAGCGAGCTCCCCTTTGATTATGAAATGATATGATGGTAAACCTTTTATTCTAATTTAGCGTTCTCCAACCTCACCAACTTACAGTTTGTTTGGCCAAACTTAAAAAATTAGTTTTTCTCAAAAGTACTCAGTTTGTGTTTGACTAATTAATTTTAAAAATACTTTTAAGCAGCAATTAATATTTGACCAAGCTTTTAAAAAAATATTTATAAGTATATTTTTCTCAAAAGTGCTTTTCAAAAAAGTATTTTTGAGAAGAAACTACAATCTTCTGCTTTTCCAAAACTACTTCTGCTTGTACTCAAAATCACTTTTTTTTCTTCTAAAAACTTGACCAAACACTTCAACTTTGAAAAATAATTAAAAAAAAATTCTTTTAAATTTGAAGAAGTTTAGCCAAACAAACTATTAATACTACTTTTGTCATACTCTTGAAAATAAGGGAAAAGAAAAGAATAACTATAATACAAAAATAAACAGAAAATTGAAAAGGATATATGCAATCAATGGGAAACTTCGGTTATGCGGATTTATGCTGGGAGTGTCATATCAAGGAATAAAAGGGCAAAAATTGTTGTATGAACAAAAGTGGGCACCACAATTACGACCCACGGACTAGGGATAAGCAATTGACTATAATACAATACTAAATTATGAAGTTACCAAAAGTTAACCAAAACAGGTTTCCAATGTAATGATACACAGATCATGGGTGAGACCGGGCATGGATTTATAGTCTGGGACATGTGAACCAAGTCTCTCCGTTAAATTAGGGGTTTTATGTATTTATTTTTTAGAATGTGTCTAATATTATCTGTTGGTCCAACTTCAAAAAGGTTGAATGGTTCTTTTGGTTTAATACCGAGTTATTTACTGAAAGATATAGAGATTGATCCCACTTAATATTTTTTCTCTCTTTTTTTTTGGTGGGGCATTCATGTTCTAGAAATTCTAAATCTACCTCTCAGTGAGAAAAGCAAGAACGCAAGAGAATTCATTTCTATAATATCGGTCCATAATAAGTGACTTTTTGGCATTTAACACAACCCTTAAGAAAATACTA